AGCCGCCACGGCAGGCGATCCCTCGGCTACCGTACACCTCGATGACCTTCGGCCCAAACTCGGGCAACCGCACAGCGGTTCAGATCACAGCGGGCCAGCCTATGACATCACCTCCTACTCGACCTTGTCTCTCATTCTGTACTGTTTACCCGTGTCGCGACTGGCAGGAAAGCCAAACCTTGAAAAGGTGGGGCTGCGAAATAGTTGCTTGATGCGTTTAGCTTTACGCCCGAGGACAGGTGTTGAATACCCGTGCCGATCCTTCGGACAGTTGCCCGCCAGCTTGCTACCGTTCATTTCACTCTTTACCGAACGCAAAACAGAGGGAGTCAGGTCGACAACAATTGCAGTCATGTCGCAACAGTACCCTAGGCACTTAGCTTCACTGGCTTCGCTCCCAAGAAAACCGGCCCTATCGCACCGCACACGCACCATGTTTGTCTGGCCGGGTTTCTAGCACGACAAGTTTGTAGCCCACTTTAAGCACGACAAAAGCGTTGCCAGAGATGGTTAGCAGAGCACTCGTCTTCATCGGAAACACGCGCAATACACGCGCCGTGCACAATATACAAGCTGCTGTATCTATCTGCTGTTGTTGCGATAGCTGGCAGGGGAGCCTTGAATCGGTGAGCTAGGCATACATCTTAACCGTTCCCGCCCGATACAGCACCCGAGCCTGAGTGGCGGCTGTTGGCTTGCCACTGGTATTGCCAAGGTTCGGGAGTATTAATAATTACTGCAACAATTAGCCCTTGCATAAGCTGACGGTTAATGCCCTCAATGATTGCACCTGTACTTGCCCTATATATTTCCCATTAAGAAAATTCTGCCTTGTAATAAGGTCTCCCTACCTCTTCCCCCCTCTCCCCCTCCTCCTCTCTCTCTCTCTCGTGGTGCACGCTGCTCACTCTGAATATTGTAAGGTTCTGCTCTCGCCTCTCTCTTCATCCCTCTAACACTTTTTTCCTTTCCCTCTTCAACTCCTCCTCCTTCTCCTCTTCCCTTTTCTTTCTTATTCTCCCGCGCCCTCCTCTCCCCCCTGCTTCCGCCACTCTCGCACACGCCCTCGTCTCCTATCCAGTTGCCTTTCCTTCCCTCTCTTTTCCCTACTCTTACAACTGCAAAACTGTTACTAACCTTACCAAGTAACCTACCCTATAGTTTTATTCCCCTCGCTTCATGTGCCTATTTCACTAAATTAGGTGTGTTCGTCGATGTTGATGGCTGCCACGCTTTACTGCAGGTTGACGGTGTGGCCGTTTACTGACTGCCCCAGCATTGAACACTTGCGCTGACAGCCGGTGGACAAACAGTGTCCCCACGTGTTCGTATCAGCGCCACTATCAACATGGTCACCCAGCCATGCTACAGCCTACGCCCCCAAGCCTCAAACCTCATGGTAAAGCTTCTCTGTACTCTCTCCCGCTCGCCGCCGTCTGCTCTTCTAATATTAGACCAACGATTATCAAGCGCAAACCATTCTAACTATATATATATTATAATATATATGTATACTATATATCGTACTATATATATATATATTTATATATAATACTCATATATTATACTATCCCCATTATATATATAAATAAAACACAAATATATATGGCGTGTGCCTCCCCATATATGCAATCGGTTGTTCTGCAGCCTCAGGCGTAGAATAATATTTTATGGCGAGCCGTCCACACTCAAACCCGCCCGTAATAATCCTGTTTTGATTTCTACTCCGGTTTCGGTGGTCGAGAGACGTTTGAATATAGCGCAGCGCAGAGTTTGAGCCCCCCCACTGTGCTGCCGTAGTGCCGTGCGCGTGCGTGTCACGTGGGGTGTTGTGCGCCATCGTCGGTGTGCGCTGTGCCGTGCATGCTCCCGCGCGACCCGTGTGTGGTGCCCCGCCTGTGTGTGGTGTGATGTGTGTAGTGCGCGCGCCTAGCGTCGGTGCGTCGTGGCGTGTGCGTGTTGCAGTGGGCGTTGCCGTCTGTTCTGGACACCATCCGCTGTGTGTGCCTTGTGTGGTGTGTTGCGCCGCGCCGCCTTGGATGGCATGGCGTGCGATTGTTATGAAATGGCATGGATCAATGAATGGCGATGGATGGCATTGGATGGATGATGTGAATGGATGGCATGGATGGATGGATGGATGGATAGGATGGATGGCATGGCATGGATGGTGCGATGGATGGCTCATGGCATGGATGGATGCGATGGATGCGATGGATGGCATGGCATGGATGGTCATGCGATGATGGCGATGCCATGCGATCGGATGGCATGGATGCCGATGGATGGACGGATGGATTGGCGATGGCATGGCATGGCATGGAATGGCCCATGGATGCGACTGGCCATGGTGGGATGGATGGCATGGATGGCATGGATGGATGGATGGATGTCAGGATGCGCATGCTTGTCATTTGGACTGCGCATGGATGGATGGATGGCATGGCATGGCTATGGATGCATGGATGGATGGATGGATGTATGGATGGATGGCCATGGATGGCAGCGACCTGGCCATGGATGGTATGGCGTATGCGACTGGATGGTATTGGCATGCGATGCATGGCATGCGATGGCCATGGCACCATGGCCATGGAGGCGACTGGATGGAATGGCATGGGATGGATGGATGGCAGGCATGGATGCGATGGATGATTGGCATGGATGGTATGGATGGCATGCGCCATCCGGATGGATGCGCATGGACATGGATGGCATGCGGTATTGCGAATGGCCTGGATGGATGATTGGATGGTATTGGATGACGGGTGGGATGAGGGCATGCGAGCGATGGGCATGGATGGATGGATGATGCATGGCATGGATGGCGATGCGATGCATGCATGCCATATGATGCATGCATGCAGAAGGGGATGGATGGAGGGAATGGTCATGAATGGTAGTGATGCGATGGTGGTGTGGATGTCATGGATGGCATAACAATGCATATGCCGATGATGCCGTTATGGATGGCATGGATGGATGGCATGAATGAGATGGCGATGGCATGTATGGATGGCATGGCATGGTATGGCATCGGATGGTTATGGGATGCATGGATGGCCATGCATGCCATTGCATGCATGCCATGCATGCCCATGCATGCACTGCCCATGTCTAAATGCTGCCATGCGATGCATGCATGAATCGGAATGCATGGAATGGCATGCCTTGGCATGTGAGGCATGGATGCGATGGTATGCCATGAGATGCAATGCATGCGATGATGCCATGGAGACTGCATTGCATGGACTGCATGGCAGGCAGGGATAGGATGGATGCGCATGGATGGATGACATGGATGGATGGCATGCGATTAGCATCGATCGATCGATAGATGGATGCATGCATGCATAGATGGATACATGTATGGAAGGAAGGAAGGACAGACAAATACATATGAATAGACGCTCACTATAACTAGTGTTGCTGGTACGTGTGTCAGACCATGGAGGTGCTGGAGGAGGAAGGAGAGACGACCTATCTCTACAACCTCGTGGACGGCAGAGCACGCAGCAGCCTCGCTCACGTCATCGCCGCACGTGCCGGCCTGCCAGCCGAGATCATACGCAGGGGCATCGAGGTAAGTACGTCCTGGTGAATCCCCCCTTCCTCGCCATCTCCCTAACCCCCCCCCCTCCATCGGTCCCATCACCCTCCCTCTCACCTTCCCTCTCCTCATGCTTATCACCTTCTACTACCCAAGGTCTGGCAGCCGATATCACGTGCAGAGCGATCCAAGAAAGCCCTGTTAAATACCACCTTTATCTACCTTTCCCCATATCAACTCCATTCCCTTATTAAGATTAGGTTATATTATGTGTTGGTTAGGGTTAAGGTTAAAGCAAGATTATATTTAGGGTAGATTTTGAGGTTATTGGATTATTACGTAATTAAGTTATTAGGTTATACTTATTAGATTATTAAGTTATTATAAGTTTTATTGTTAGGTTAGTGACTAGGCTTATGTTTAGTGATAGGATGAAGATGATGCTGACGACGACGACGACGTTGATGATGTATGCACCAGACACCCGATGTAGGACTGAGCCCCTGTCACGAGCTGTGGTCAGTTTACACACACTGACGTAGGATTACTGCCTACAATAGCCACGCATGCGGTGTGGCCACACAGTCTGATTACCACATACAACAGCGCTATACGCACATTACAGGTGACAGAGTTGCTGCGGGCCAACAAGGCAGTGTTCAGAGTCGATCTACCCAGCACAG